TCTCTGACTTCTTCCGGCAAATCCAAAGTTTTTCTGACTGCCATGATCAGATGTTCCATGGACTTAGCATCTAACGAGCATGGTTGCTCCATGAGCTCTTCCTCACTAGAAGAGATAGGCTCTAATTCTTAGGAACCAGCCGTCTTCTACTGAGAAGTCGGATTCTCGGCCAAAGCTCTCACATCTGGGTCTTTTACCTCTATTGGATTCTGAAATCCCTTCCGCCACAGCTTGTTTTATCCAATAGGCTATATCCTGAGCCGAGGATGTAGAGGCTTGAGGTAACCTGCAAAGTTCCGCCTCTCCTGCGACCATGGATAAGCACTTGCGGCATAGTCTGCAGTTATCCAAAGGCCTTGCACCACATCCAGGGCAGGCCGCTGGTTTATCCCTCTTAGATGGAGATCTATGGCCAGACCGGTCTTGAGGGCTGTAAAACACAGAAGTCATATGACTGTACCCTCCATGCACTCTTTTTAATCATAAGAAATGGTAAAAAATTCTAATGCTCACCTATGACCTATTGCAGATTGTGGCAAACCTAGCCACTTGGGACTGCCTAAGATAGAATGGTTGTGCCTATTTTCTGTTGTGTACTGCGCGCCGGTATAGTGTGGCTTCTCCGGCTATGTTTAATTTATGCTGTACTGTGTATGTCTGTTCGAATCCTCCCCATTCGTTAGCATTGCTATTAAAACTGACTAAGTTGTATATTTTGAAGTAGAAAGGTAACGGTTTATGTCCTCGTAGTTTTCATTACTGTATGTTACAGCAGGGGCTGTTGGGAGGAGGACCTGGAAACGGTAGTCTCCCTCCAGTCCCCTCAACCAAAACCCCTGCTGCCCATCTTTGGAAACCCCTGTTGAGTGACCTGCTTTAAATATCAGTTATTTTTAATAAAGTGACAGTTGAGTGACCTGCTTTAAATATCAGTCTTTTTGAATAAAGTGGCAGTTGACTCTCAGACTGTGTTTCATCTGGTTCTTGGGAGGATCTGGGAATATTGCCTGCTTCCAGCTTTGTACTTGGTTATTGCATTCTACCAGCAGAGATCCTGGGATTATAAAATTGCAGCTCCGCAACACAGATCTTGCTGATTTTGCAGAAGGAGATGCTGGATCCATCCTCTTAGAAGGGCTATATAACAAAAGGTTATCCCAATTGAATTCCATTGATAAATGCTGAGCAGTGTTATTACCGTATATACTCGAGTATAAGCCGAGTTTTTCGGCACATTTTTTGTGCTGAAAAACCCCAACTCGGCTTATACTCGAGTCACTGTCTGTATTATGGCAATTTACATTGCCATAATACAGACTGGGGGCTGCCAGCGAGCACTTACCTCTCCTGCAGCTCCTGTCAGCTCTCTCCTCCTCCGCGCCGGTCCGTGCAGCACCTCGGTCAGCTCCCAGTGTAAGTCTCGCGAGAGCCGCGGGGTCATAGTGCGGCTCTCGCGAGACTTACAGTGTGAGCTGACAGAAGAGCTGCACGGGCCGGCGCGGAGGAGGAGAGAGCTGACAGGAGAGGTAAGTAACAGCTCTGCCAGCCCCCCTCCTCCCCCCACTGAACTGCCAATGCCACTGGACCACCAGGGAAGGAGAGCCCCCCTCCCTGCCATGTATCAAGCAGGGAGGGGGGACAAAAAATAAATAAATAAATTAATAATATATAAATAAAAATAATAATAAACATAATAATAAACAAAATAATAATATAACAAAATTTTTTAAATAATATCAATTAATAATATATAAATAATAATAAAAAAAATAATATAACCCAAAATTTTTTTTTTTTTTTATAAAAATGCCCACCCCCCACCAAAGCTCTGCAACACAAACACACACTGCATCACACACACACACACTGCATCACACACACACACACTGCATTCATACACACACTGCACTCACACACACACACTGCACTCATACACACATACACTGCATTCATACACACACACTGCACTCACACACACACTGCACTCACACACTCGCACTCCCACACACACACTCGCGCACTCATACACCTGCATTCCTTGCCACACATACACTGCATTCCTTATACACACACTGCATTTTCATATACACACTGCTCACATACACACACTGCACTCCTTACACACACTGCACTCCCATACACACACTGCGCACTCATACACACACTGCACTCCCTTACACACACACTGCACTCCTTACACACACTGCACTCCATACACTTTTACACTGCACTCCCTTACACACACACACACTGCACTCCATGCCTTTACACACACTGCACTCTTACACACACTGCATTCATACACACACACTGCACTCTTACACACACTGCACTCTTACACACACTACACTCATACACACTGCACTCATACACACACACTGCATTCATACACACACTGCATTCATACACACACACTGCATTCATACACACACACTGCACTCTTAAGCACACTGCACTCTTACACACACTGCACTCATACACACACTGCACTCATACACACACACTGCATTCATCATATACACACACTGTAAATAAATATTCAATTAATATAATATTTTTAGGATCTAATTTTATTTAGAAATTTACCAGTAG